TGTGGCAGGGTCCTGCGAGTTTTTCTTGGGGTAAAATACGTCGAAGATGAGTTGAGCTGTTGAAATTTCAGAATGGGGAAGGTGGAAGTGAGTGGGACACTCAGATGCCGACAGAATTTGTGACAAATTTTGATTAATTTTTCGGGGAAATAGTGACTTAGAGCGCGCATTTTTTTAACGACCGAGATTTTTTGGGTCGAAAAAATTTGATGTTTTTTTTGCGAATTCCGGATTTAAAACTTTTTCCGCACAAGACTGCCAACGATATAGCAAAAAAGTGTTTTTTCTCTCACCGCCCTCCCCATTCCGCCTGCTCTCTCGGCGCAACCGATCGCTGAATATCTCGGCTGCCGCTGCAAAGTCCTAGCTAAGACTTTCGGAAATTTATGGCCTACTTTCAAAACTCAATTTCAATTCAATTTATTTCCGCTAATCATCTATCAAAAGTAGAGAAACGGGCCATGATTCGGGGCCAAGATGAGGATGTCACGTCCCACGGCAACCCGAAGTGTTTCCTGGCTCCTTTCGACACTTCGCCCATTTTGTATCGGTTGAAGTCAAACGAAATGTCACAAAAGAATTTTTCGTGGGAATTTCCGACCGAAAAATATTTTTCTCGGAATTATTTTATTTCTTTTGTCAATTTTGGCACTTCGTTTGGACGAAACTCAAAAGTGAGCGGGAAACATTTTTCTTCTATTTCGGGTTGCCGTGCGTCGGTTCTCCAGTTCTGTCCCACCATGTTCAACTTGTAGAAGTTCTTGAAGTCGTCTTCCCAGCGCGTTCTTGGTCTTCCCAGCGCACGTCAAACTGAGATTAGCTAAAACAGTCCGGTGAATGGATTGGCAATTTGCCAAAAAAAGACGCGAAAAAACGTTTTGTCGGGGGAGAAATGGGGAATTTTTGGGGCGAGAGAGTCCGTTTTTGCGTGTCTTTTTTCTCTCTTTCTCTGCGAAACCAAGACGAAATGTAAAAAACCGATAGGGAAGAGTCTATTCCGGTCACCGGACTCCACAGTTTGACGTGCAGCGCCCTTTTGGTAGCGGGCTTCCAGTTCAGAAGACGTGCTTCACATCTTTCATAAAATTTCGCTCATATTTTGAGCTACCTTCAAAATATGAGCGAAATTTTAAGCAAATGTGAGCGTCTCACTTGGAGCACTTTCCTTTTAAATTCTTGGCCAACAAACTTCTATTTCTCAAAATTTCCCCCACGTTTTCACGTTCTTCAATCTTCCAAATTCCCCCCTCTTCCTCATCCCCCAACTCCCTCCGCATCCAATTCCCCCCGGTTGATCCGGCCCATGTTTTCCCGCACATCTCGCTAAGTAGCGGGGGAGCATGTGCAAAGTATCAAGCGGTCATTTAAGCCGCCCTCACTTCGGGCCGCAAATCCCCGCCGGGATCGCCTGCGGCAGTGGTTTTTATCCCCGCGAGAGATCAGCGGCGCGGAGGGCGGGCGCAAAAAACGCCATCCTAATAATCGCCAGTTGGTATTTTCTGCGCACAAAAATCCCCACACAAGATTGATGGGCCGCGCACTTGGCCGGCGTCTCAGCGGTTTTTGCGGGCGGATGATGGCGCAAGTCTTCATGGGCTTTCAATTTTTGAGCCGTTACAGTGGGAATTTCAACGTATTATCGGTCTGTCCGGAAAAATAATATCGGTTTGTCGGGAAAATAATGTGGAATCCTTGAGAAAATAACGTGGTTTGTCGGGAAAATAATGTGGATTTTTCGCCTCGTCGGAGTCGCTCACACAGATGGGAGATTCCAAGCCGCAATAAATCCACATTATTTTCCCGACACACCACATATAAAGTCTTTTGTCATCAAAAAAACTGGTGTATGTAGTATATACATATATATATGTATTTCCAAATTTAGGATCAGCATTCGATATTCACCCTTGATTTCCCAATTTTTCGGCTACAACGGAAGCCATTATGGCTACGGCGCCCCAACGAAATGGCTTTTTATTTCATTAGCCCAGCTTAAGCCATCCCCCTTCGTTTATTTTGCACATTCATTCATCCGAGGGCTTTGTCCATTCTTTTGCCCATCCTCTTTATTACCTTGTCTAATGGGACGTTGGGTAAATATTTACAGTATAGACAAGTCTTTGTTCAACGAAATTTTAAAAAATACTATTTTTATGGGAAATATGGGCAAAAAATTTGTTCCTTTTGCAGCTCCCAGTATTTTTCATAGTCTCTCGTATAGGTCGTTAAAAATTGTGGCTATGACTGCAAAGTAAACGCTAATTTTTTTCGAGATCTATCCGTGTCACAGTCTGATCGCTTCATCAGCATTTTTTTGAACTACTACTCTATTTGAAAAGTCACTGGAGCGATCTCAGCGGCATGCACTGCGCAAAAAAGCTCAGGGTGCAAGCGACAGGCCAAAAAGCCTACTGCAAGGTGCAAATTAAACTTTTATTTTCGCACAGTGCATGTCGCGAAGACCATTAAAGTGACTTGGCGAACGGACTAGTACTATCGTATCTTACAGGGGAAGTACTCCAAGTGCGACGCTCAGATTTTGATGAAACTTGGCACAAATTTAGAATAATTTTTTCTAAGATATATGCGAGAATTCTAGCTCGCGCTTTGCAGAAACAATCGAGATTTTGAGATCAAAAGTCGGCCAAAATTTTGGACTTTTTGCCGAATTTCGGCTCGAAAAGTTTCATGCCTATTTCGACCGTAAAGGATAATATTTCTACAAAAAATCAAATTTTTCCGCTCGAAACTGCCAAAGATATGGCCAAAAAGGTGTTTTCTCTCTGACCGCTCTCCACGTTTAGCGTGCTCTCTCGGCGGCAAAAATCGTTCGATATCTCGGCGGCGCCGGCAAAGCGCTAGCTAAAACTTTCAAGAATTGATATTTAGTCCATACCCGACGTGTGTGCAAAGTTTAAAGAAAATCTGAGCGTCGCACTTGGAGTACTTCCCCTGTTAGTAATAAACCCGCTTTTGAAAAAACACTAGCAGTCAGGCCGTCTTTTAAAAACCCTTTTTTCAACCAAAACTTGTCAGAATGATTTTTGGCGCTTGCACTGTGCACAAAAAGTCAGGGTGTGAGCAACAGCCTAAAAAAGCCATTTGCACGGTGCAAAAAGCAAGCTTGCACAGTGCAAAGTAAACTTTTGTCTTCGCACAGTGCATGTCGCGAAGATCACTCCAACGAACTTTCGAACGAACTAGTATTTTCGCAATATGATTTATCACCTCCCATCCTCTGTCTTCATGAAGACGGGAGATCATACCCACTTGCAAACGCATTTTGCCACCTATTTGACATATATTTTTTCAACACCCTTTGATTTATGGCAGCATCGCCCAAGGGGTTTTGATCCATCTTCCCTCACTCGCGTTTGGTGGCCATAATCAAGCAAGAGAAGTGAAAAGCTCCTTTTCGTTTAGCAGTGGCAGCTGGTCGAATCTGATCGTGATTAAGGCCTCTATGACCTTAATCTTTGTTTGTTTTTTTTCAAAGAATAATTTTGTTAGGGGAAATGAAAACAACGGCGATTTTGAAGAAACTAGGTATAAATTAAGGTTAAGTTTTTTATATCAGTTTGTCGGTAAAATATTGAGCATTCTGTCACATCGAAAATCGCATCGCCGCCGAGAAACTGAATTGTGTCGCGGCGAAATCAAATTGCTTTTCACTTCAGCGACGCGATTGGCGCAGCGCGTTGCGCTCACTATTTTCCCGAGAGACAGATACACATATGCCGGATTCTTAGCTCGTTTTTTTGAAGAAACATCCGAGATCTTTAGGTCGAAAGTTGGGAAAAGTTTGGCATTTTGTGCAATTTTTTGGAAGCTTTGTATTACATCACTTTCAATTTAACCAAAATGACAAAATCCGCCAAGTTGCCAACCCTCAAAAATCAACAAGTGGCTCGTGTTCAACAATATCTAAATTCACTTTTGCTATACATAACTTATCGACCATTTTTGCTCACAAATTTTCCGTTTAAAGCAACGCAAACATTCCAAAAGCCATTTCTCCCCCCATTTACCACTTGTAGGACTACTGTCGTTTCGATTTGTCTTTTGGAGTTTAAGACTTTTGGTCGTATTCCCTAAAGGCCTATCATCTACCAATGTGTGTCGCTTCCTGTTTTTGATGGGAAACTAGATAAGATTCGTGTTTATGGAATATGCATGTCAGTTTAGAGGAGGGCTCTTTCGGCTTTATGACCTTTGTGTTTGGGTCACAAGAGTCGAAAGTGTATTATTCGTCATAGAGCCATGACTTGTCTACGGGGTCTTCAGAGCTCTTAGACCTAATAATATTAGCTTGATTACAGGCTGGTTTGGTGACTGTATCATAACGTTAGCCTTTTTTGACCTTATTTTTTATGAATATGGTCTCTCAGAAGCGGGTGTTTGGGGTTTCTCCAAGTTCGTAGGCCTTCTCAGCAAGGCCATACTCTACTTCCTGAACCGGCCCGTCCGGAAAGCCGCTAGAGCAATTTCAGCGACGTGCATTGTGCAATTTATTCAAGGTGCGAGCGACAGCCCAGAAATCCTATTGCACAGCGCAAAGTGATCTTTCACAACGTGAATGCCGCCGAAATCACTCCTACGACTTTCCAAAACGAAGATATGGGGAATTTTTAGGGCGAGAGAGTGCGTTTTTGCGCGCCTTTTCTCCTCCTTCTCTGTGAAATCCAGACGAATTGCAAAAACCGATAGCGAAGAGTCTATTCCGGTCAAAAAATGTATATCGCCGCGGCAAAATCAACTTTCGTTTCGCTTCTGCGACGCAATCGCGCAACGACATAGTAGTCATTATTTTCCCAACATTCTGATATTTGAAAATGTTCCAAGTCCCTGTCAAGCATCCGTGTTGCGCATATAACACTTTTCCTTCCAATCAGCCCGTTACAGTATTACAAACAACGCATTCTCGAACCCATTCAAAGAATAGTTAATTTCAGGTGCTCTACCACCAAATTGCCCCTCAATCCAACGAATATTTCAATGTGATGAAACAGCGAGAGCATTGCGTGGCCACTCAAACAGATCCAGTCAGTTCGTCCAGCGAATTCACGGACTGCGACATGGATTGTCATCTCAATTTCAACGACTACAACAACGAAGATGAAGGCCATTACGAAGAGATTGATATTCCGTAAGCCTATATTTACCGTCGATATATATTACATTCTGATATTTCTTATCCATTTCCCACCGCATTCTCTTGTTTCCTCATTGTCCTAATCGCAAAAACATCCGAAAACAATGGGAGGAAATTCCCTTTGATCTTCGCCGTCCTCCCATTAAGGCTCGTTAAAAGTATCGACGTTCCCGGAGAGGGCCAAGAAAATGTTTTTTGAGAGGGAAGGAGATAAATCCATAGCAAATCTGTTTGACAATTTTATGAGACAAGATCAGAAAGATCAGAGAAGAATGGGAAATGCCTGGGGGAAATCGAACAATAAAGGATTTTCAGATGTTTTTTGAGGTATTGAAAGAAGCATTAATTGGGACGGCTTCAAAGTGAGCATACCTACAGTGACAGACCTGATCAAGTGGCAAAAAAACGTACCATTTTGCATCCGGGAAGCATCAAAAATGTGGCAAAATGGTTCCCTCTCCAAGTGAAAAAACTTCGTTTTGAAGACGCGCCCATTTTGCCTCACAAAACAGAGCGGGCGCGCTTTTGAAAACACAGTTTTTTCACTTGGAGAGGGAAGCATTTTGCCACATTTTTTATACTTCCCGGGTGGTAAATTGTACGTTTTTTGCCACCACTGGATCAGGCCCCCACTGTACTACGAGCCGCGCAAGAAAGTCCGTAGAATTCGCGGAATGCGTTTTTTTCCACGAAAACGCGGACGGCGATCTGAGAGAATAACACTTTTTGGCCATACCTTTCCAGTTTTTCACGAAAAAAAATTTTATTTTTATGTGAAAACATTACGTCTTTTCTCAGATTCTCGTAAAAAAATCGTAATTCTCTGCACTTTGCTTCATCCTTGACCTTTCTGATCCCTGGTTAGTGGCCGTACCCGATAAAAACAATCAAAAACTAATCGAAAAAGCCGACGTATCACACAATTAATCTTCCCCAACGCTTGCGTTTGAATTTGCCAGAGGGGTTGCCTTTAATTAAGAAAGACGGCTTTCCGATTTTTTGATAGAAGCGGTTTTTTGAGGGACGCTGACTTGATCCAGACTTGAGTTGGTTTTCTGATATTCAGACGGCCATACCTGCTGCTTGAGCAACCTTTGAATTGCAATTTTTTACGGCTTGGAAAGCAAAATGTTAAAAAAGTTTTTTTTTTGTCAGTAATTGGCAAAGATATGGGCCGAGTTTTTCACAAATGCCTATGTGCCCTATACAGCATAAGCCATAGAAAATTCAAGTCTAAAATTATGCCGAGATTTACGATGTCTAATATCAGCCTGTCGGGAAAATAGTGGCGGGTCTTCGCGCCTTGGAATCGCCCATCAAGCGACGGCTGGAAATTTGGGGCCTTTTTTCTACGAGGCAAAGCGTTTTGCTCCATCTATTTTTTCTGACTGATACAACCCCATTACAAGGATTTTGCAACTTTCAAGCTCGACCTTTACACTCTCTTTGAACCTCCAAAACAACCACCTAATCCTTGTTTAACCCCATTGTCTCGGAAGTATAATTTCTCAAACTTATCCATTACCTTTTTACAACCTTGTTCAAACCACTCCAAACGCAATCAATTGAGTTGTTAACAAAGAAAAATTAAACCCACTTTAAAGTCAGTTTTTTTGGGATGAATGGCGAAAAACGGCCCAAACAATTTATCGCGACTTTAGCGCACTGCGAGTTTTAATGTGATTGAGATGGGTCGATTAGAGTGGGTTCGCAAATTTAAGGAGCTCCGGTGGCCTCGCCGGCCCTGGACTTGTAAGCCGCCGTTGATGAAGGCGAAGTACAAAAGGTAGGGTGATTTTGGGAGGTCTTTGCGATGCTTCGAATTTTTTCTAATTCTTCTGCGACATGTATTATATTTGCTATCCGAGAGTGTGTGGGCCATGTGGAGGGCGGTCAGAGATAAAAAATATATACTTTTGGCCGTAACTTTGGCAGGAAAAACTTGATTTTTTGTGGGAAAATTAGTCTCTGTGGTAGAACTATGTACCTATGAAACCTCTCGTGCCAATTGATGCGTTTAATAACTTTGCGGGCAGCTAGTAAAATCACGGAGATTCTGCGGGCATGTTTGGAAATCAGCTAACAATTGCTTACAACAGGAAATTAGAACGACAGATTTGGCAACCAGATATTACAAATTAAGTTTCCAGGCGCATAGGTGGCTTGAATAGTTACCATAAAGTTAACCAGACATTTTGAAAGTTTCTCAAAACCATTTTTTGAAAACAAACTCCCAGAACTTTCAAAGCGGTAGATGAATTCAACCTATTCGTGTACTTATCGGTACCTGGGAGTTGTCAGTGCAAAATGTATATCATTCTACGTAGATTACGGTAGAAAAATCGTAATTCTAAGCGGTAAATGCCGGCTGCCAGCAAAGTGGTTACATGCAAGACTCGCGGCAATGTGTGACCTTCCCTTATGACCCGCCAAAACCTGGGCTCTTTTTAGTCGCATTTTGACCACTTCCCCTGTAAACCTTTCGTTGTACTTGACTTTTGTTAAGAAACCTTCTCTTTTCTGTTTTTCTCCAACCTCAATTTATCCACCTCTCTACAGAACCCTCTCGTATTCTTCTTCACCCCTTAATCACCGCTAGACCATAAATTTGTTCAAGTGTGTTCGGCCCAACTTGCGTCGCCAAAAGGCCCGGTTTATACATTCATTTGGGAACACCTGCTGTTATTTTTTCCAATCAAAATCTTGGTAGAAACCCCTGTGGCCAAAAAAAACGAGAGAAAACCCAAAGAGAAAAAAAACGGAATCAACGTGAGCGATATCTAGATGAGGGCCACTCTTAGTTCTTTGGATTAGTGATGAGGGTCCTAGGTGTTTGCCTGGAAGAAGTTTTCGGTGAGATAGTGGGTATAGATGATATACTAGACAATTCATATCAGTCTGTCGGGAAAATAGTGGCACATCGCAGCAAAATGTTTCGCCTCGGTGAAAAAAGGGTTCAGTCGCGCATCAAATTTCCAGCTGCGGCTAGCGACAACCCCACACTATTTTCCCGATCGGCCACTCCCAGTTTTCTTCAGTCGAACTGGGGAGGTCATCGAAGAGAAACTTGCTAATTTTAACGGCAAAAACTTACGAAAGTTCGCTGAAAAAATCACCAATTTTTGATGACAAAGAGAGTACAAGAAGGGTGGGGAAGAGCCGCAAAAAACCTTCTGACCTTAGCTTTGCGAACTTTGTGTGGAAAAATCGATTTTTTTGTTGAAGCATTACCCTGTGCGGTAACAATTTGTATGACATTTATTTATGTCAAAAAATAGCCAAAAATGTCACAACTTTGGCAACTTTAAACCAAAAAACATCGATCATTTCTGCAAAGCGTTAGCTATAAATCTCGCATACGTCTTATAATAGAAAAATTCAGCCTAAATCTGCAATTCGACATTGCTACTTGAGATAACAGCGTTTTCACAAAAAGTCAAGGCTTTCCGCTTCAAGCCGTCAAGAAAGGGATCATAATGACTTTTGTGACCCTACTCTGCCCACTTTCCGCACTTTCGTTTTCTCTCATTGACGAAGATAGTGCAATCTTCAGGATTCGCCTAAATTTTCACACCTCTTCCGGTTAATTTTCTGATTTGTTTTGATTGGCGGACTCTGCCACTTCTAATTTGACGACCTTTTTTTGCGACAGCCGATAATTGAGCTATTTTTGAGACTTGAGCCATCAAACCCGAACCATTCGTATCCCACCTTTAGGCATTCGTCCCGGATTCTCCGGTCGGAGACGGATCACTGATCCCGATTTTTCTACTTTTCAAGGCCAATTCGTACTGTAAAAAAACTGCTCAACAAAAAATAATTTTGCGAACTTTATTTTGCCATTTTTATCTAAATTTTTTTGGATACTTTTTGACACTTTTTAGAACTCTTTTGCAATTTTTTGCCTAAAAATCGAGCCCATTTGTACCAAATGGGCTACTGGTTGTAAAGTTCCATTCTCCAAGTGCCATAAATCATCGCATGAGGCCACTTGATGCCCGGCGATTAGAAACATATGATTTTGGCTCATCATATTTTATAATATGGGGCTGGCCGAGGGATTGTCTGTTTGCTTTTGCCAAGGATTTATGAGACTTCACACCTCATTCCAGAGAGGTTTGTTCTAATTGAGCTTGATTTTTAGATGGGTTGAGGCTTGAGATTTCGAAGTTTAGGTGCAATTTTTTGGAAAAGGAAATAAAAGCTGATTCAAATGCCCTTCTAACAGGGGAAGTACTCCAAGTGCGACGCTCAGATTTTCTTTAAATTTTGCACACACGTCGGGTATGGACTAAATATCAATTCCTGAAAGTTTTAGCTCGTGCTTTGCGGGCCGAAAGAAAAAAGCTTTTTGGCCATAACTTTGGCAGTTTAGAGTGGAAAAATTTGATTTTTTGTAGAAAAATTATCATTTACGGTAGAAATAGGCACGAAACTTTTCGTGCCGAAACTCGGCAAAAAGTCCTAAATTTTGGCCGACTTTTGATCTAAAAATCTCGGTTGTTTCTGCAAAGCGCAAGCTAGGATTCTCGCTTATATCTTAGAAAAAATTACTCTAAATCCGTGCCAAGTTTCACCAAAGTCCGAGCGTCGCACTTGGAGTACTTCACCGGTAAGAAGGACAGTTTTTCATGTGGGGCACTAAGATTTTCCTAAAATTTCTATGCGAGCTTTAAAAATTATGTTTTCGAGAGAGCACGCAAAGTGTGCAGGATGCAGGCAATCAATAATGTTTGCCCATAACTTTTTTGTTTCTGCCCGGGGAAAAAATTTTTTTTGTAAAACAAAATTTATGCCTACGTAGTGATTTAGCTTGAAATTTGCAAACCAAAATTTGCAAAAAATAGAATTTCTCTTTGGCAACTTCGATTCAAAAAACCTCAGTGGCGTCGCGACACTTGCGGGCAACCACTTTGCGGGCAACCAGTTTGCGGGCAAATTTTTTGCGGGCAGCCACTTTGCGGGCAAAATTTGGGGGGTCACATTTGCGGGCAGCTGAAACATTTGCGGGCGGCTGAGACACTTGCGGGCAGCCTGGGACACTTGCGGGCAACCGACACTTGCGGGCAGCCGACATTTGCGGGCAACCGGCACCTGAGGATTACAGGGTGGAGGTGAAAATATTACTGCAATATTTTGGAAATTTGCCGACATTTGCGGGCAGCCGACACTTGCGGGCAGCCGACGTTTGCGGGCAACAGGAAAAAACAATCACACAGACTGTATAGGAACTTTTGGGACTGTTGCCCGCAAATGTCGGTTTCCCGCAAGTATTGCCTGCCCGCATATGTCGGAAAACTTCTAAAATATCGAAGTAATTTTTCCACCTCCACCTTGTTATCCTCAAGCGCCGGTTGCCCGCAAATGTCGGGAAATTTCCAAAATATCATAGTAATTTTTGCACGTCCACCCTGTTACTCTCACAATCAGGTGTCGGTTGTCCGCAACTGTCGGCTGCCCGCAAATCTTCCAGGCTGCCCGCAACTGTCGACCCTGCCCGCAAATGTCCCAGGCTGCCCGCAAATGCCGGTGCTGGCCGCAAATGTCGGCTGCCCGCAAAGTGGCTGCCCGCAAAAAATTTGCCCGCAAACTGGCTGCCCGCAAAGTGGTTGCCCGCAAGTGTGCGCCCGCCACCTCAGTGGCTTTTGAAAAAAAAAACCATCAAGGTTCTACGATCCTCGTATATCTTATCATTATCCTCTCTGATAACCACTTTCCGTCCAGATTTTCACTTTGTTTTATCTCCTCAAAATGTCTATGTTTCAAAAACAATCTCAGAATGCCCCTGTTTCTCATTCGAAACAATTGCTCAAATCAATGACATCACGAATTGTCATCCCCTCGTCGAACCTTTTACCTCAAAAACAACGAAACTCTCACGCTAAACGACATAATCTCACTAATTTTAGGAGTGCCGTGAGTATGGAGAGGATACTGCTCCTGGATCAGCCTGTCGATTATGAGGTAAGAAGTTTGACGAACGTTTTTCTCTTTTTTTTATCTTGCCATTCATCTCTTGTCATAGAGAAAAAACGGCTGACAAATCAGCAGCGATTCATAATGAGGACAATCGTTTTGAAGACCGGAGTTTTGAAGGGTTACGGGGGCAAACGAGTAGGTGTTCGGCGTTGCCGTCCTTGCCTTCGAGGTTTTTGAGGGGAAAAGTTGATTTTATGGAGGTTCAAAATTTTGAATAGTAGGCGATTTCGTTGTACAAAGAATCATTTTGGCCTACATTTTGCGCTTGGGACCTGAGAAATTGTTTGTTTCAATAAATTTTTGTTGCATGAGAGAAAAAAACCTCAAACTTTTTGATCATCGACCTAACAATTGTAAGAATCTTGATTAATTTTTGTAAGAAAACGTTAGGCCAAATTTGGACCAAGTTCCAACGAAATCGCTACTGTTTAGGCTATCAAATCTTCAATTTTGCTCCATTTTCGATCAATTTTTTAATCTTTGATTGGTTTTTGATCCTTTTGATACACCACAAATCACAATAGACTCATTCTGAACTTTCTCATGGACTTTCAAGATCCACTAAAACCGACCAATGTTCAAATCATTAATTGCAGCACCGTTTTTGTCCTGCAGATTCTACTGTCTTCGCTCTTGATCAATCTCTCTCTCCAGCCATATCCACAACACTATTAATAGTCTAAACAATCCAAAAAATCCCGTCTCTGCGTCAATAATTTGCCCGCCGTCTCAATAAACGGCCCATTAATCCTATACCGCATCGAAAAAAATCGATCACAAATTGTTTTCGGGGCGGACGAAAAAAAAACGACGACGGCCCTGTTTTCGGATCGGAACAGGGGTCTATGACACTAATCGGTCCTCAACGGCCTTATGACAAGTTAAGGAGGAAGAAGCCTCAGGAAAGCCGGAGGAGTTGTAGTTGGACTATAAAAAAAACTTTGGAAGCGGAAAAAGCGAAAGAAAATAGCAGGAGAACAAGGGGCTGGAGAAGTTTTTTTGGCCCATTGAGGAGGATTTGGACTGGTCCAACAGGCTACTTTTATGATTTATTACCGCTATCTTCAAAGTTATTAACTGCGAAACGGCTTTAGGAGCCGAGAAATGAGCTGGATTTAAAGCGATTTCCCACGCCTAACGAGTTGGACGAAAATCAAAAATTTCGTTCGCAAAATCTCTATATATTCCGCTAGATTGAGCAGCATGCTACAAGCCGTCTAACTCAATATAACCATCAATTATGAAGGCATTTCGTCTACCAAACTTCTCTTCAAGACAATCGTCTTCACTGTCTTCCTTGGACCAATTCGATTGGTTCACCACCTCGCAGTTCTTCACTGACATTCTTACAATTCAGGAGGTCGTGTTGACCCGGTCAAAGTCCAAGCGACTTGGGCTGACCCTATGCTACGGTGGGACGGCCGACGACGATACTGACATCTTTATCAGTCAGGTAAGTCTTCGGGCATTTTACTAGGCCCTAGCTTTCTAATTAGCCCTATGTAGAGTCTAGCATTACCATTTCCACTCTACTAGTCAGCCCTAGAATAAATCTCAACTCCTTTTCAACCTTTGAAATCTCTTTCAAGTTAGTTGAAGTCATTGAAACCCCTTTGAAGTCGACGATTTATAGTCGCAACAAATTTACGTTGAGCCGCTCAAAAACCAAGATCTTCAAAGGTATCTTTTGGAGGGGTTGGGCAAAAAAAACGGTGTCGATCACTCCACGTCAAAGGTATCGAATTGCATAAGCACTAATGCCGGGGAATATTCGAAAAGTCTGACTAGTAGACACTGTCCTAAACAACCGTGTTTTTGAATATGATAACGCGAGTCTACGTTCAGATTGAGCCTGGAAGCGTGGCGGACCGCGACGGACGAATACGGATTGGAGATCAAATCCTACAAGTAAGTTGCTTTCATTTTCTTGTTCGTAAAGCTATACTGCACGCTAGCAAATGCCAAAAAGCATCTTTATTTTCCGATCCTTCGCCCGGCACTCTGAGCATGCAAGTTCTGGAATATTTAACTGCTTTTAGTCTACTCGTTTTATGACATGTCATAATTCTTGCACCTAATCGCTTCTTTCAACAGTAGAACAAGTTTTATCACTGGTCAATAAAAACTTTATGTCTTGTTGATAGGCCCTCTTCTACAACGCTCATTTCAGATAAACGGCCAAAGCGTTCGAGGCCGAGACGAAGCGATGCGGCAATTTGCCAGAGGCGACACGAATCACACGTCGTTGTTGTTGGCTCGACCCTCCGCGGAGGTATGTGAACCCTTTTGTTGTTCTCATAATACGTATATTCATGCTTATTTACCGTTTAATCTCACGAATCAGGAAGTTTATTGACTCTCTTTGTTTTCCGAGGGGTCTAATGACTTTAGTGCCGAATCATAAGTTCGTTTAGAGAAAAACTCTATGAGATCTGTCATTAGAAAAAAGGCTCGAAGCCGAGTGAGAAAAGGCCCGTAAATCAGGCAAATGGTGTGTTTATCACGCTTGTCCGGCTTTTTCCAAGCCCGAGGACACGGACGTATAAAATTTATATGGTCTTATTTACTGGATGGGACCAAAAACAATAAATATAAAACAAATTGACATTTCTTAACACCTTGCTAGGTTGCAGCTAAAAGCCTGTGCAACAAGTCCAAATTCACTAAAACCCCAACCTTTAGGACATCTGATTGCTTTATTGTAAACAAAAAATTTTTTCCCGAATTTCAAACAAAACTATACTCCCCGTACAATGTTTTGACCCCCCTCCTAACTCGGTCCAAGGTGTACTAATTCGGACCAAATTTGGTATGTGGTATACTCACAGGGTAGTAACAAAAAATAACATAGCTGGACCTACCTTATAGTTGAATTTCAAAATCTATGGGCAATTTTCAAAAATCACCTTAAAAAATCGAGGAAAAAGTTTTGATCCCCCTTAAAAAAACGTTAGATATCGCCAGCGGATGCTACGCAAACCTATTGTAATCGACGTCCCATACCTGAATACAGGTTAATGAATGGTTTTCCGTTGAATGCTTCGTTGCATTTGAGGATTCAACGCGTTAAACCGTTTTTGATGTAGAGCTGCCCAAAATTGTAAAAATCTTGCCCTATCGCTTTCCTAGAGCTCTAAATTGAGTTTATATTATGTGCTTTAGACCTGTATTTACCCTCTCCTTTCAATAAAAGTGCATGGTGGCCTGGCGGTGTAGATTCGGCAGTTACCCTCTTGTCATGCCCAGCCTTGGTGAGCCATTTGCTCTTTGACTTAAGGTCGAGATGTCGTTATTAGGTCCTCAATGTAATCCTGAGACTCCTATTTACTCTCAGTAATGTAAAATGTTTTGATTTGACACGTTTTGTAATGGGTTTCATTCACCTTAATCTTGAGTTTGCCGTTACTGTAGATCACCCCGAGTACTATTACATCCCCACCTCCCATTTGGCGTTTCATACGTCTCAAGTGAGTATGGTGGGTGCTGTAGCGTCTGAAATTACTTGGTCCATCAAATGAAAGCCGTTTTTGGTGGCTAAAAATCCATTTGAAAAACGCGGGTTTTTCGTTAAGGTGCAGATCGGCGAAGTTGCGCCTGCAAACCATATGAGACCGTGTCAGCCGGAGTTTATTCTTTGTTTGAGAGTAACTAGGAGTCTCAGGATTACATTGAGGACCTAATAACCACATCTCGACCTTGAGTCAAAGAGCAAATGGCTCACCAAGGCTGGGCATGACAAGAGGGTATCTGCCGAATCTACACCGCCAGGCCACGATGCACTTTTATTGAAAGGAGAGGGTAAATACAGGTCTAAAGCACATAATATAAACTCAATTTAGAGCTCTAGGAAAGCGATAGGGCAAGATTTTTACAATTTTGGGCAGCTCTACATCAAAAACGGTTTAACGCGTTGAATCCTCAAATGCAACGAAGCATTCAACGGAAAACCATTCATTAACCTGTATTCAGGTATGGGACGTCGATTACAATAGGTTTGCGTAGCATCCGCTGGCGATATCTAACGTTTTTTTAAGGGGGGTCAAAACTTTTTCCTCGATTTTTTAAGGTGATTTTTGAAAATTGCCCATAGATTTTGAAATTCAACTATGAGGTAGGTCCAGCTATGTTATTTTTTGTTACTACCCTGTGAGTATACTACATACCAAATTTGGTCCGAATTAGTACACCTTGGACCGAGTTAGGAGGGGGGTCAAAACATTGTACGGGGAGTATATATCTAATTTTAGCAAGACGACGACGATGAAGATGTCCACGTCGTTGTTGAAGAAGCCGATCCCACTGAACTCACCACAATAACCAAGAATCTCCATACTCTGGCCGAATACGACGACAGTAACACAGAGAACTCGCTGCAGCATGAGAAAGACTCCGGGGTGTCGCGAACAACAGACTCCGAGCCGGATGTCAAAGGCGTCGAGAAAGGGAAGTCCTCGGATTTTGAGAACGAACTGTCAGCGCTCCACAAAGAGATGGAGAATGTTCGACTGGAGTGCGCGAGGTTGATGAACAAACACATGACTGAACGAAAGCCAATGAATTCGGCGTTAGTTGAGATGTTGGACAAGATTAATCAGCCCTTCATTCCAACCAAGCTTCCGGCCGCGTTGGACCGACGGAGTAACAAAATGTCCGTGAAACCGGAGATGAAGTCTCCAACGCCTTTACGACGAACAGTCAAGGAATTTACCGCACCGAAAACGCCAAAGATGGGAAAAGTTGGAGTCACATACGATGAAACGACCTCTTCAGCATACAATACTGGTGGAGATTCTTGTCGCTCGACACCGAACAAAAACGAATACATGCATGTGGAGACGGCTCCAGCCAATCAACGCCCTGGAACATTATCAATTCAGCATAGACGAGTAGAACCAAACCTAATGTCGCCAACGTCCTCCGAACATCCCTATCAAACAATTGATACGCCCGTAGCAAGTGTCACTAGTCCACCGGTCCAATTCCGACTACCTCAATTCAACTTCCAGCCTCCTCAAGAGCAAAAGAAGGGGACGCTGAGGAGATGCCAAATTCAAGCGTCTTCCGCATTGCCGCAAATTACGTAAGTTTAGGCCTTCTCAATTATAACATACGGACGTAGAAAAGTTTCATTTGTCCAGCTTCTCCAAAAACCGAGACGATTTTTGTATCCCATTTCCGGCATTAGTTACAAAGCATCCCAGACAACATCATGCGGCAGACAACGCATTAAAATGCATCTTTACTGCGGCAAAGATGCATTCGGATCCGTTTTCTGCCACATGATATTATCCGGGACCGCATAGAACTCAATTCTCGGACTTCCACGCGAAGGAACACTAATTCTCCCAATAATTTTCAGTTTCCGCCCTGGTGACATAATGTACACTTCGCCGGAGAAGTTGGGTGAGACAATCGCCCTTCAGCAACGACTTCTCAAACAATCGCTGGGTGATCCACATGCCAGCCAACTCAAACCCACCACTTCGGCCGTCTCATGCGTTACTTCGAATAATTATGCGAAATACTACGACAACAAGGTTGCTGAGCAGCCAAATACCTATGAGTGGAAGATCAAGAGGAGAGCAGATGGAAGCAGATACATCACTAGGAGGCCTTTAAGGTAAGAGAAGACCATGAATAAAAACAGAAATAAATTTGACAACTTTGCCTGATAACCCTCATTTTTACCAAATAAATTATCAAAACCTCTAATTTTCAGATCGCAAGTCCTCAAAGCCCGTGAAGAACAACTCAACCGAGAGCGAACCGGTATGTCGACCGACGATGACGCTTGCTCTGACCTCAAAACTGGCAAATTCTGGACTCGCCAGGAGCGCAAACAACACCTCGAAAGACAGCGGCAAAAGAAGGTGAAGAAGGCGCAACTGCTCCAGGAGAATCGACGATACCGCGAGAACGAGCCGCTAATTCAAACGCTCTCCGACCGAAAACAACTGCGCCAAAGTAACCGCCAATTCTTCGACAAATTCACCACAATTCAGGAGTTCCTGGCGCACGGTGCACGCGATCCGACGCTCCGACCGATCGGGGGAGTTCTTAGCGTGACCACCGTCTGAGCCGTGGGTTCAACGAGAGGATTGTAACTACAACGAAGACGAAAAAAATCTGCCAAATATTTGGATTCGTATTTTCCGAGCCGTCTATGTAAAACCACCTATTTATTAGCCTTCTGCAGAACTAAACACTTTTCAGGAAAACCATGTTTATAAGCTACTTATTCGATTTCGGTGATTATTTTTGATCAATAAACTTACAACTATTAATTTTGATGTTTCGTAATATTGAAAACAAAAGATGAGTGTGAAGAGCTATGGTTTTAACGGAACATCGTCAATCGGGGGAAAGGACGATTGGGGAAAATGCCAACTGGAGAGAATAAAACCATTTTTTCGCTTTTTTGGCTAGCCAAACCCATATTTCGCCAGCCTACACTAACAAAAGCTTCATTTATAGTCCCTTTCACCTTTACATGCTCTTAGTTAACCCACCCAGCCTCTGAAACGTGTGTTAGATGCCGTTTTCCCTGCAGAAGGCCAAACAAATACAACTTATGGCCGTCTGCAGAGGACAACATCGTTTTAGGGTCACTGAGAGCATCGATAGTTGAGATGGACTATAAATGAAGTTTTTGTAAGGGCGGGCTAGCGAAGTACAGCTAGGGCAAGCCAAAGCAGCGAAAAAATGATTTTATGCTCTTTAGTTGCCATTTTCCTCAATCGTCTTTTCCGCCAAGTGACAATGTTCTGTTCAAATCAGAGCACTTCACACTCATCTTTGACCAAAGCTCCGCTTGAACAAGCAAAGAATGCCGCATCAAATCCCCTGGTTTGTCGAAATTCCCCAAAAAAGTTTCTCGAATTTGCGACCCGCTCGATAATTGGTTCTACCGGATTAAACCGATCGAGTACTCAGTAATCCGGCGGTCCTTTCATGTTATTTCATTATTTAGGTTTGTTATTTAAGGTTGAAACACCTTTCCGGCGGTTGGTTTCAATCTGACCTTATACATCGGTTAACTTTAGTCTGTATTTTTCCTATAGTATTTTTTTCGGCTAAAAATGATTACAAGGCCAACAAAGTCAGTCCTCTTTATTGTGATGACCCTACAGCTCCTAATCAAGTCAAATGACGCAGTAACTTGCTACCAATGCGAGCAAACGGCTGGTGATTGCAATGAAACCTGTGAGGGCACCAGCTGTGTGACTTGTAAGTTTTTGAAGCTTACATTCATTCTTTATCTCACAAAAGAAGTGCTCAAGGAACAGCGGCGGACTTGATCCATTGGCAAAGACGTACCATTTTGCATCCGAGAAGTATCAAAAATGTGGCAAAATGCTTCCCTCTCCAAGTGAAAAAACTCCGATTTCAAAAGCGCGCCAACTATTTTTTTGAGAGAAAGAGCGCGCAGTTCAAAACGGAGTTTTTTTTTGTTGGAGAGGGAGGCATTTTGCCACATTTTTTATACTTCCTGGATGCAAAATGATAAGTTTTTTGCCACTGAACCAGGTCCCTCACGGTACGACGCTCATTTGCCGCCAAAACTTCGACACATTTTCGAAATTTTCAGGATGGAAAATTCTGATCAAAATAACAGCAGAATTTTCCATCCTGAAAATCCCAAAACAGTATCGAATTTGTGGTAACTCTTGACCATACAGGGTGTACCAAAAAAATGGAAACTTGTTTTTATAGCTATATTTTTTCGGAGAATCAAAATTCAGCAAAAGTAACGGTTATTATTGGTAACATAGAGCATTGTTTATAACATGTTCAACCTGTTTCAAAGTGGCTGCCTTTGGTGGCGATATAGAGCTCCAAACGTGACGTAAAATTTTGGGCTCCGGGCCGCAGCTTTTTAAGGGGGAAATCGGCCCCGTTCTTGGCGCAGCATTTACTTTGCGACCCCAAACTTTTGTGGAGCATAGTACAGGTGCTGGCCTTCTACTTAAAAAAAAATATAGTCCATTGGATTCAGATCCGGCGAGCAGGCGGCCATTTCGCAGACGGGTTAAAATCGGGAAAATCGGTCCCATTTCGGGTCCTGAGTCGATTTTGCCCTGTGAGCCGGCGCTGAGTCCTGTTGGAACGCCAAGTCTGCATTGCCAAGGTTCTGCTGAGCTGACGGAAGCACGACAAAATAGAAATTAACGCGGCGTTAGTATTTTGCCCCATTGATTCACGAAAAACATGGATTTCTTGCCGCTGGCACAAATTCCGCCTTAAGCAATGACGGCCCGGAATTTGGCTGTATTCGACGATGGCCAACAGGCTAGGAGCTTCATTGAAGCAGATTCTATCGTTCTGGTGGTTGTGTATCCGCTAAATATTGAACCGCGAACTGAATGCGCTCACGTCTCGGAGCTGCGGCCCGCCCCTTTGACTTTCCGACATTTTTGTGCCGTACGCACTTACTCTCGACTTTAAAGATCTGAATTTTTTAGAGCTTGTATGACATGAGATTGATCTCGTCTTTGGCTATTCGGCCGACTGATCGGTCGCTGATGTCAGTCTCAAGGGAAAGTTTTTCTTGAAAATCGCGGATTTTGCTGTTGGGGATCTTCCGGTTGAAAGAAGCGCTGGCGGTGCGTTTTCTTTCACTTCCTGAGCGCTTACTATCCGTATCAAGCTCCTTGCACCGCGTGATTACTTTTGACACAACGTTCTTTCTATACCGAGAAAATTAACTGTTCGAACAGCTCCAAAAACAAGTCCAAAATCGAGGTCCCTTCGTTTGAAGTTCAGAAAAACAGGTCGATTAATCGATATGGGCATAAAAATCAAACCACTAGGACAAAAAAACACAGAGAATTTTGTAGTAATAAACTTCTTTGGCTACACCTAACCATTTTCTCGTCAGGACCCATGAAAAAAAGTTTCCATTTTTTTGGTACACCCTGTAAAATCTCGGCCGTTTCTCTCTTAATTTTTCCCCAAAAACTCAAAATTTTTAGCCTTCGCCTCGTATGACATCTCAAGCTTCCGTCAAACCACGTACTGTATGAATGACGGGGCTCGCAATGGTTGCATGGGAGACATGGTGACACAAACTTTTTATTGCTACTGCACTACAAATTACTGTAACACTCCTTTGAACGTGACTTTAACCAAGACTACAGGACCTCCGGCGGTCAGTTCCACCACTACTACCTACTACTTCACGCCAACCACCACTGTTTTCCAGGGCCGGAAACGAAGGGACGTCCTCAAGGAAAGGATACAAAAAGTTTTGGGATGGGCGTAATTTCTTTATCTCTTGAATAAATTTTACCGATATTGGCGAATTAATTTACCTGTTTTCGATAGTAAAATCTACAATTTAAAAGTTTGACAGACTAAAATAACAAAACAGCTTGACAAACCTACAAGTTTCATCGTAAACGTTGCAAATTTGAAACAAAATTTTTAAAATATCTACAACACCCATAATAGACGATAAAATGGCCTAAAATCTCAGTTTCCACTCATTTCACATATTAACCATCAGATTTTTTGATGGATTCCTATCAGATAAAACATGTAGAAACCCACAGACAGACAGGAATTTACAAGTTGAGCTTGGGGATTCCAAACGGAGCTGTTTGCGGGGCTTCCGTGCTCTCCACCGGTTCTGGAGCTTCTTTCTTCGGCGCCAATTGTTGTGGATCCTCTGGAGGCGGTTGTTGCGTGGGATCATACATGTTACCCATAAATCTGGTCATCACAACACCCATTCCTTCGATCATCGCTAGCACCGTGCCACCGAGGATCGCGGAACCGGCCATTATTTTTGGCCCTGACCGGATGGAAAGAAATGCTCCGGTCAAAGCGCCTGAGGCAATTGAATTAAAAGCGTCTTCCTGAAATCAAAGAAGACACCATTAGCTTAAATATGAGCCATAAACAATTATTCTACCGTAAAAACTAAAGAAGATATAATATTTTTTTTGAAAGTAACCATCTACAGTCAAGTATAATATAATTTTTTACCTTTTTTCGAATCGCAACTAAAGTACAATCAATCGTGCTGAACATTCCACCCCACGCACCGAATTGCCCACCGGTCACAGGCGATTTCAAACGGATTTCACGCAGCATACTGGAGAGTTTTTGATTTTTCGCGGCATGTCGATAAGCGGAAATTGAATGGAAAATCGATCCACCCACCAGGCCCATGGAAAATGCGCTGCCAACATCGTCGAAAATTCGATACGGACTAAAAAAATAAATGAACTAAGCAGAAAGGTTAAAAATTATACTTTTTACGACCAAAAACATCAATTATACCTAAAGCAATATTTTTTTTAATCGAAAACATAAATTTACCATGGTTCTCTTGTGTATTCGTCCATAATCAATATTTACAACATCGAAAAGTCAACCCAGCTTCGTATGAATGCCTAAAAATTGAGGAAAACTAGTAAAACAACGGGAAAATAGAATTTTCAGGTAATAACCGAGTAAAATAGGTCGAAAGTCAAAAAATTGGAATTTATTTACATAATAGGAGTACTAGAAAGGCGGAATCACACTTTGAGATCCATCACTCGGCATTTGAAACGCCAGAAACAACAATTTTAACAACAGATTTGAAAGGTCCAAGTCTACCTAAAATAATATCGCAACTCTAATTAGAAACAATCTTAATGCAAGTCACAATAATGAGTAAGAAACTGAAGTTATTAAAGTAACCTCAAAATCAAAAAAAAAACATCAAAATCCATTGTGAAATGTACATTCAGACATCTCCGATATTATCCATGAGGGTTTGCTATGAAAGACTAGTAAAACAATGTTGGCCTCATTGCCTGCCATTCCGAAAAATTTCTTCTAATGACTGATACTTCCAGGCGTCATCTTTCGACTGCTTCACCACTTCGAGCAGCATTTTTACCCGATTTTCATGCAATTCTATAAAATTCACGGATAAATAATGTAAAATTAGCGAGAACTTAATGAATTCTGCACAAAAACAGGTAGAATTTTGCGAACGGACGTCTTTCGGCGCTAGTCATCAAACATCTAGACCATAAACAACAAAAACCAAAAAAATTACCTTTCTCGAGGTTCTTCTTATCCGTCTCGGGCTTGAGTTCGGCGCGCACCTTTCGGTCATAGTCTGAAAACACGGTAAGTGAATTAACAGCGTCCTTATAAAACAAACATCACATTCCATCAAAAGCAAGGTCGAAACGACCAAGTTTCAGACAAAATAAATCGAATAAAAATATTATCTTACCCACAATCTTATCATTAGTGACGGACTTGGCTTTAGACAAACTCCGCGTCGTTGGACGATGCATTTTCTGACTGTCTATGTTTCAATACTTACAACAGAAACCTTTCAACTTGTTTCGGAGTAAAAAAGCGAGAAAAATAATTTATTTGCAACAGAATGCCAAGGATTTTCGGGTTTCGGCACGATAGATTGAGGGATAGAGATTTATTCGAATCTCGACCAGATTTTGTTCGAGCTTCCGTGTAAGAGGAATATAAAATAGAATTAGAGCCATTCGGCAGTTTAAAAAGCAATTTTCAGCCACTTTTATCCCACTTCACCTTATTATAGGTAATTTTTTGATGTTTTTGGAATGTTTCATCGAAAAAGTCGAGTGTTTATCAGCTCTCCAAGTGCAGAATTCATTGATCTCTCAAGCCCAATGTGTTTTCATGCTCCTTCAGCTGGCACTCTATCTTAAAATTCATTTTTGCGAGCAAGACTCCTGTTGAAAAAGGTGTGGAGCGAAGAAAAAACAAAAACCCGCCGAGAGAGCGTGCGGAATGCGGAGAGCGCGGCCCCCACTGGGGGTCCAAACACCGCCGAGTGGGAGCCGAATGTGTGGTGCGCCCCCGGAGAGCCGAGGGGGCTGGGGTGCGGACCCCACGCCCCGCAAACGAAGAGAGATCCCGGCGTGGTGGGGGACTGGGGTCGGAGCGAGGTTCCCGTTTCGCTTTCGCTCTCCCCCCATTGTTAAGACGGGAGAGTTTTGCCGGGGAGTATGGGTATTTGGGGTTTTGGCGAGCTTATTTTTGGCTTGCTCATGGAGGACATACCCGGATTTCGAGGATTTTGGGGGAAAAGCGAGCGGAACATTGTGATTACTTTTATCGCAGAAATTCTTGCGAGTTGAGCGATTTTCGCGCGTTTTCCGGTGGGATATCGGCCGTTTTGTCGTCTAAAAAAACGCTAATTTTAAATTACTCCAAGCATCGTCGCGCAATACCCGTTCCAAGTTGAACCTCTTTTAGAGCGCTTCTTCGCGATCAACCCGCCGTCGAAGCGCGTTGGAAGTCGGCAAACCATCATCCACTTGAACGCATGCTTTCTTGCAGATTTAGATGACAACTGAGAGGGTCAGTAACATCATCGAGCAAGTGATTGAGCAACAACAGATCAGCCACATCGGAAATCAGCAGTTCGTGAAAATGGAGCATGAATCAGACGAGCAGAATGCGTCCACCTCCTTCAAACCCGACACTCCGACAGCTAGCGAGATCCAAATCAACTCGCTGTTCCAGCAGTCGCCAATTCAGGCGAATTCGCAGCCCGGTCAAACTGTTGTTGAGGGCGGAAGACCGATGAAGAGGACGTACTTGCTGTTGAAGGTGAGGATTTTAAATGTGAATTCGTACTAGAGGATATTACTACTTGTCATTCCAGAAAGTGCGTAGGTTTTTTGTTGTAGACCGCACCGTGCGTAAAAAACCCTTTTTGGGGCGTGCATCTGATGTTTTGCATCGTGCAAGTCCAATATCGCTGCGACACAAATTAAATTGCACAGTGCAAAATGTTTCGAAAAGGATCGCGTCGCCCGGGGAACAGGAAGCTTGCACTTTCTTTGCGCTGTGCAATTTCCTGCTGTTCGCACCGTGCAATAGGTTTTTTTCGGCGTGGGAAAACAGTGAAAAATGCACTGTGCGAAAGATAGCAATTGTCTATGCGCATATTTTTTTCATTATTTTTCTTATTTGCGGCGGTCTTTCACAGGTTTTCTGTATTTTCTGCAAAAAAATTTTTTTTCGTCTCTCCCAAAAATAAGGTCGGAAGCTCAATTTCTCCTCGATTTCTTTGCTTTTTTGCGCATAATATCAGTGATAGGCACGTATAGGAGCTAAGAGACTTATTTTCGAAGAAACTTTTTGTAGAAAATTTTTGTTGACAGCTTGAGTATAAATTTCCCGCCGTAAGATAAGGTGAAAATTGATGGGTTTTGCTCAAAAATGGATCAAAAACACGATTAAATTTTTGTTGACATTGAGCGGAAGATCCTGTCTTATTTTCTGAACACTCGTCCTTTAGGAATTCGAGACCGATGAGGAATGGCGGACCTTCTACGTCACGGAAATGGAGCACTGGGCCAAGAAGCGGGTCGCCAAACAGTGTGTGGAGTACGAATGTCGTCTGAAGCGGAAGGGCTGTAAGATGGCGTTGCGGCTGATCAACGGGTCGAACGGGCGGCCTTCGAAGGCGCTGATTTCGGCTGGACAGCATGATCACACGTTGATGAGGCCGAGTTTTTCGAACGACATTAGGGCGATTATTGATCGGTGTTTTGTCGAAAACTACAGTGTGAAGCCGTTGATGGTGTGCGAGACTTTGAAGGTAAGGGGATTAAGTTCTGTCCGGTGAACGCAAAAATTCGCGATTTTTCGGGTCGGTGACAGTTCGGGTCAACACAGAATCAACCGATACGGGTCGCAGGGCAAGTGTATTCCAGAAGAAGAGGTTGTAGGAAGTGCCTACGGGGCCTGACAACACCTTTGGGTGGTCGGCGAACGTGCGGGAGGGCTTGGCGGAGGCTTGAAATATGTCCACTTTATCTTATTTTCTAGCTATTACCAACGTTAGTTTTCTTTACCCTGAGTTATTTTAATATATAAAAGAGCAAAATTCAAAATCAAAAAAACGGCGTAACATTTATCCAGATTTTATTCACGTGAGTAGATGTTCAAAAAATGCGATAAGCTATCCTAGAACCCGATCAATCCTATTGTTTCTACTAACTAAGCCTTCTCCTAGCCTCTCCCATGCACGACGAACCGAGGCGAGCCATAGTATCATCGACCCGACTGTCGCTTATCCGAAAAGTCGTAACGCCAAGAAATCGAGCTTTTTTAAATTTTTACCGCATTCTCTTCAGGACCACGGCTACGTGAATGTGAGTCGCAAACAAGTCCACCACTATCTCCAACGAATCCGGAAATGCGAAGAGGAGTCGTACACCATGCCGGAGAACGTCAGTATTCCCACACAACCGGTGGAGCAGTCCATCTCCATTCTCAGCGCGCGCCATCAAAAGTACCCCGACTCGGACGAGAAGTACAGTCCGGCCGAAGAGCCGCCCCAACAGCCGCACTACGAACCCCAAAGCACCTCGTTGCAGCAGCAGCAACCGCCGCCGCAGAACGGCCAGACCTACACCATCACGCAGGCGCAACCGCAACAACAGCAGCAATACAGCCGACCCACAGTCTTCTCCTCCCAATCCCAAATCATCTACACGAATCCCACCGTGCAGGCGCTGATCAGCGCCCTGCCCCTGCAATCCACGCCCAACCTGCAGACCCAACATCAGCAACAACAACAGTTGCCGCAGGTCATCCACAATCAGGTGTTGGGCACGCCGATTCTCGTACACGGGAACGGCATTGAAGAGCAGCGGTACGTTCTGCAAACACAGCAACCGCAAACGATTGTGGCCGACAAACCGCCCATGGTGATGACGCTCAGGGCGCAAAAGGTGGAAGTTGAAAGGTTGCCCGATAATATCCATGTCCTCAAGATATATCAGTGATTTTTTTTTGTGTGTAGTCCTCAAGTTTTTGTTAGTCTTTGTTCGCAAAAAGTATAAGACTTGTTTTCGCTAAAATATGTCCCAAGTGCGACGCTCAGATTGTCCTTAAATTTTGCGCACTCATTGAGTACAGAACACACATCAATGCCTGAAAATTTTAGCTTCCAGTTTGCAGAAACAGCCGAGGTATTCAACGGTCTTTGTCGATGAGAGAGAACGTGGAGTTCAGAGAGGAAAGCACTTTTTTGGCCGTATCTCTGCCGATTTTGCGCGGAAAAAGCGATTTTTTTGAAACATTAGACTCTATGGTAGAAATAGGCACAAAAACTTTTATGACAAAATTTTCATAAAAGTGCCACATTTTCGCCAACTTGTAACCTCAAAATCTCGATAGACCATGGAATCTCTTGAGCCAGATACCTCAAATAAAGCTTATAAAATGTTACTCTAAAGGTATGAAACTTTTCATACCGATATTGAGCTAAAAAGTGGCACATTTTCTTCCACTTTTGTCCAAAAATCTCGGTTGTTTCTGCAAAGCGCGAGCTAGAAATCTCTCGGAAAACATTGGTCTAAATTTGTGCCATGTTTTATCAAAATCTGAGGGTCGTATTTGGAGCACTTCCCCTGTGAAATCGATGAGAATGGGACCATTTTGGTATCAAAACTGATCACAAAATTTGGCCGTTTTTTAAAATTTTTCTTCGATTTTATCCCTCATTTTGCTTGATCCTCAAAAGTTTTATACCCTCTCCTGTTCAATTTTACAACATTGTGCGTCTCTTTGTAATGCTTTCAATGACTATTTAACACTCTCTTCGTTACGGGTAATAAAAATATATCGCTTTTACGCCGCGGTGTTTACATCGTTTATTATGAGGTTTCATGATCAAAACGGAGATCAATCGTCGGTAGTTAGGGACAAGATATGCTTAGACAACAAGATTATGCGTAGATTAGACCCGAAGAGGCGTCGTTACGACACGTTGAGCGCTGTCGAACAGATTATAAAACGTCTGAAATTGTAATCCTCCAAAAAACACTTTGTGTTCGAGGCTATGGCAAAATAAATAGATTTTGGGGAGATTACTGTACAATAATTTCCGAGGTGAGAAAGATTGGGAGTAGTTTCGAGTTAAGTAGGCCAAAAATGAGGAAAAAGGAGGGAAAAGTTGTGAAAAAAGGCTGAAAACGAACAATCGAATTTGGGATCAAAAAGTATCACAGAGAGATAACAAGACTATTGATTTTGAAGAGAGAGTGCCTTGGATTTTTAATCGAAATTTATAAGACTCAAAAAAAACGTCTTAAAGGGGGTTCCCTCTTCAAAAGAAAATTTTTTTTTATCTCTCTGTGATACTTTTTGATACCAAATGCAGCCTTTTTTCTCATAAATTGTTAGGCCCTCAAATCTCGGCAACTCCTTCCAATACTATGCAAATTTTCACAAAACAAAAAGACAAGAAACGTAATCACAACAAGGCAAAAAATTCTATTCAGGAATGACCTCGATAACCTTCTTATCCTCGAGTTCAGCGGGCTCCAGCCGCTTCTGGATAAGCCCACGCTCGCTGACCGACCGCTGCTGACCTTTTTCCTTCTCCGTCAGCGGCGCGGTGTTGTCAGCGTTCGAGTAATCGCTGCTGTCGCACACCGAGACTGTGCCGGACTTGACGGTATTGAGACGATTTGGAATCGACGAAGAGCTGGCTGGCTGTGGGGCGACTCGTTTGGTACATGGAAGAAGGCGGAGGAAACTTCGTTTCACCTGAAAAATGTTGAGATTGCAGATCATTGTGATATTAGTGGAAGTAGTTGTGATTTTGCGGCTTATTTTGTTGCTGCTCTGGTTCACAGGGAAAGCCCGGCGGACGCTCGGCGAAGGCTCGGCGGAGACTTAGCAAAGACTTGCGGTATCTCCACTTTCTCTCGTTTTGGCTATTACTAACGTTAGTTTCCTATACCCTGAACTATTGTAACATATAAAAAATCAAAATTTGCCACAGAAACGAAGATAGGTAACTTTTTTCTACTAAATATTATTGATGTGGGTATATGTAAAACACCTCAAAGATGATAAGCTCTCCTAGGACCCGATCAATCTTATTATTTCTACTAACAAAGCTTTCTCCCAGCCTCCCTCATGCATACAACGCAAACCTTTTTTTGCTGTTTTCTCAATCTAATCGATCAAAACTTCGTCCCTCACTTACCTCCGTCTCCAACGCCAGACTCAGCACCGAATCCACGATGATCCTTGTCAGCAGCGACATCCGCACCCACGCACTCAACATTACCATTCTGTTGTAATGGAGCGGATAGAAGCATCCACCCGCTATGGTTAAAGTGAGTGCCCAACAAAAATACGGGAAGTTGAAGATTGCAAACGTTGACACATGCAACGCTAGCTTCAACAGCGGATAGCGGAATTTTCGCTTTACGGCTTCTCGATTTCGTTCGCCCGCGGCGTTGGAGTGAAATGATTCGGAGCGGCTCTTGGCGCGGCGGATTAGGACTACTGAAAATGGAAAAATTGAAGTTAGAAACGAGGAAACAACAAAAAAATTAATAAAATACAGAAAATGCTACGACTTTTCGGCTCAACGACACCTCGGGTCGACAATTTTTGGTTGCCTTCATTTGTCATTCAATCAATGAGGGAGGCTAGGAGAAGGCTTGGTTAATAGAAATGATAAGATTGGCCAGCTCCTAGGATAGTTCATCACCCATTTTGGGGGTATTTTACAAGTCTTACTGCAGCAGTATCCGAATAAAACTTAGGGATCCTCGTTTTTTGGAGCAATTTTTGCTTTTCTATATGTTACAATAGCTCAGCGTTAAGAGCCCCGAGGGTAGCAATAACTAACTAGGGAAGTGTACAAACTGAGATCAGTAAGCTTAGAAAAATGCGGCCATATTGCAAGTTTCTGACTAGTCTTCTCTATCGAGCGTAATTTTTCCATGTGTCGACGGTACCCCCTACAACATGTTTTTTGGGTCCCCCTTTTGCCCTTCTTCCCGTATCAATCGCTTTTCTGTTGACCAGAAGTATCGTGGAGCCGAAAAGTGGGGACAGAGAAATGCAAAATAGAACCAGCAATAAACTGAATATCTTCCCAACTCACCAGTAACTCCAAAGCACACGAGTGTAAATAAATAAACAATCACCACGAGTCCATTCCTTCCAACATACATGGGATGTAAACAGGATTCTGACGTGCATTTGGACATTTTTTGAAGCTTCGGAATCGTGGTCAGTGCAACCATGCTGCCAGTGTAGATGATGCAAACGACAAAGAGCACCCAACTGAAAGCAATAATTTTTACTGTATATATACTATGGAATTTGAGGCTATCAATAGAAAGGTACAAGAGAGAGCCTAGATCTTCTTTAAATTTGAAGAGGCAGTTCAGATATTCAAACGTCTCTACGGTCGAAAGAGTAGACGAAACGTGAAGAGCGGTCACAGAATAAAACAGTTTCTGGCGATATCTTTTTCAGATTCATGCGGATATAATCGATTTTTTTGTAGAAAAATTGCCCTCGATAGAAGAAATAACTATACGGCTATCATTCAGAGGCTCCAAGATTCGTGATATCCCAGCATCAACTTACCTCGCCACACAGAACTGTTTGCACCTTGCCATTGTGATATAACGCCTATATTGTAGGGGCCGCGCAACGCCGTACAATTTCATTACACTCTGCGCGACGTACGAGCACATTCCAGCCCAAAATGAAGCGATGAATGTTGTGTTCAAAATTTGGACCATTCCAGTGCTAAAAAATGCACAAAATCGACATTTTTCCCCATAGTAAAACTCACTCATGGGTCCAATACAAACTGTAAAATATCGTCACTGTACAGGTTATGCAGGCCACCAAATCGCCAATCGCTCTGTTCAGCAGCAGCGAATAGAATTTGCGGCTAACTCGATGCTCTCGCATGGCCTGCCGCACCGATAATATGTAGAATATTACAACTATTGTGGCGACCACATTGAATGGTATCGGGATCAGGCCATGGTGTACGTGGAGGACTCGTTCCCATTCTGTTTTATTGGATGCTTCCTGAAAATGATGGGATTACTGAAGGTCACACCAAGGGCTTTGAAGAGATACAATAACGAAGGAAGGGCCAGTGCGACGCTAAGATTTTCTTTAAATTTTGCACATATGCCGCGAACAGGTCACATATCAATTGCAGAAAGCCTTAGCTCGCGCTGTGCAGGGGCAGCCAAAATATTCAACGATCTTTGCGGCCAAGAGAGTACGCGAAACGTAGAGTTCGGTCATACGAAAAAGAAGGCGAATAGCAAATTTTTTATTGGAATATTACCCTCTAAGGAAGAAAAAAAGCTACAGTGGCGGACCTGATCCAGTGGCAAAAAACGTACCATTTGCATCCAGGACGTATCAAAAACGCTGCAAAATACCTCCGCCTCCAAATGAAAAGTCTCCAATTTTAAAAGCTCGCCCTGTTTGTGAGTGTAGCCCTTCAAAACAGACCTTTTTTACTTGGAGAGGGAGGTATTTTGCCACTTTTTTGATACTTCCCGTAAGCACTGTACGAAACTTTCTTATTGCCTAAAGGCACAAGAGTTATCACAAAGGATTTCTGAACGCCTCACTTCTACAGTGGCGGAACTGATCCAGTGGCAAAAGACGGACCATTGTGCGGGAAGCATCAGACAATATGGCAAAATGCTTCCCTCTCCAAGTAAAAAAAACTCAGACTTCAAATGCGATCCCGCTCTGTTTTTGCGAGGCAAGCCCTTCAAAACGGAGTTTGGTAGTTAGAGAGGGAGGCATTTTGCCACATTCTTTGATACCTCCGGACGCAAAATGGTATGTTCTTTGCCACTGAATTAGGTCTCTCACTGTATCACTTTCCATACAAACAACCAACTCCTACCTACCATCGCCACCCGTGCCCGGTCCTTCAACGGGATGTGGCTGAAACATTTTGTGTATGTGATGGCCGAGGTGTTCGCATTGATCGGCCCAACCATGAGGGCTCCGCGGTCTTGGCTCGAATCAACTTGCTCTGAAAACGAAGGTATGATGAGCAATCAAGGTGGGGCGAGGAGTCACGGCATAAACAGGTCATATATGTTTACAAAACAGAAGGGCAATGGCTTCGGGAGGTTATGGTCGAACTCTAATGTCTACCGAGCATGCTCTGTTCGGTAGGCGGGAGGTATGGCATAGAGCCTGTTTTGAGAGAGTGGAGTTTGTGGGATGTGTGAAGTAATCAAGTATTACACAGCTGCATAAAGCCTGATGTATGTGGTGTGATCGTGAAAGTGGCTGGGAAGTCAGAAACTAGACTTTTTTGCTAATCAAGATATCAGTCTGTCGGGAAAATAATTTTGCGCGCAGCCGCGAAAACCCCCCAGAAAAACGGGCCGCGCCAATTTCACGGACTTTATAGCGCAAGTAGTACTTCTTCTATAAGTGCACGTTGAGGTGAAATGTCTTAACCCTAATCTCCAAATCTCTGAACTCTCCAAAAGAACAGCGCTTGACGTCAGTGGAAAAATAATTACCCCAAAACTTTACGATAACCCGCATGAAATTTCTCTTCTTAACTTTTTAAACCAACGTTTAACTCGAATTGTAAACAACGTCACACGATTTGAAATAGAAGCCGAAAAGTTTTAATAAAACCGAACGTAGAATGGTTGTCATCTCAACTTTGGAGAGAGTTAAATTCAGCCTTAATGTTTCAATATTAAAACCGCCCGGGGCAGAATCTTTTCTTTACAGCGTAGATTGTGCAACCACGCTGGTCAAAGTCTGCTAGGCAAGCAGTTAAAATGGTCAAAGTATGCAAGGGCAGGGTCTTAAATGCGGCGCTCAGACTTTCTTTACACTTTTCACACACGTCCGGCACGTTAGCCCTTAGTCGCCGGAATGATTTTTGGCACTTGCATTGTGTGAAGAAAGTCAGGGTGCGAGCGGCGGCCGAGAAAAGCCTATTGCGTGAAAAAAACATGAAATTGCACAGTGCAAAGACAACTTTTGTTTTTGCACGGTGCAATTTTAGGAAAGCGTAATAATGAACGTATAAACTACTGAAAAACCTAGCTCGCGCGTTCCATGCTCAGCCGAGATATTCAGCGATCTTCGTCGCCGAAAGAATGCACGAGATGCGGAGAGTGGTCACAGAAAAATACTTTTTTGGCCATGTCTAGTTCAATCTGGGGAGAAAAAAAAATTTTTTTTGAGCGAAAACTACGGTAGAGATAGCTAACAATAAGGAAAGTTTTATGTAAAAATTTGCCAAAAATACCACATTTTCCACATTTTTTAACTGAAAAATCTCGGTCGTCTCTGTAAAGCGCCAGCTGAGAAGAGAGTATCCCATATGCCGTACAAACAATCATACTGACTTTATGCGTCATCAAAATCTGTGCGCCGCACTGTGCAAAAAAGCCGAGCGACAGCCGAAACAAGCCTGTTACAGTGGGGGACCTGATCCAGTGGCAAAAAACGTATTATTTTGCATCCGGGAAGTATCAAAAATGTGGCAAAATGCTTCCCTCTCCAAGTGAAAAAACTTCGTTTTGAAGGACGCGCCCTTTTCCTCACTTTTGAAATCTGAGTCTTTTCACTTGGAGAGGGAAGCATTTTGCCACATTTTTGATACTCCCCTGGTGCAAAATGGAACGCTTTTTGTCACTGAATCAGGGGCCTGTTTCACTAACATAAAAATAAATAAAAGAGAAGTAGGGGGGAGCGAGAGAGCATCGAAAACGCGTTGGCGAGCGAGAGAAACCGGACGAAAAGCAGAAGTAGCCTACTTCTCTTTCGGAGTGACTTTTTGCGTCCAAAACCGGGGTTTTCGACAGAATTTTGGCCATAACTTTTTTCTCAATTGGTATAGGAACACCCTTCAAAAAACCAAACAAAGCTGACGGTTGAGACTACAACATATCCAAATTTCGTTGTTTTATTTTCAAGAGTAGATTAGTTATATAGCTTAAAGTACAGAGTACATTTACACTGAAGATACGAAATGTTTTATTTCTCGGTCAATTTCAAAATGTTGACGCTTTAATTTATACCAGTCGATAGCCCATCTTTTTTTCCATGAGGCTTTTTAGAGGGCCAATTGTAGGTCTTATTATGGCTGAGTTATGGCAAATTTACCTCCATTTTTGTCATAAAAAGAGCCCTCAAATCAAAGGAAGAGGAAAAGTTCGCCCCTTTCGGAACGACTTTTTATGGTCAAAAATGGAGGTTACCTTGATTTAATTGCCCGTAACTCTTTCAGTTAATGATATATCGCCACCCCTCAAAAAACATAATGTAGCTAAGAAACGGCTCTATACAGGGTGTCCAGAGAAATTCCGCGGAAAGTGTTTGCCGATTTCTCGGCGCTCAGGCAAGATATCCAAAAAATTCTTTTTGCATAAGATAGAAGAAGAGTGGGTGGTTTTTTGTCGAAAAAAGTTTTTTTGTCCGCCGACGCGGAGCATACTGTATTCGGCGGAGACTTTTGGTAGCTTTTTTGGTCATCACACCAATATTAAAAGCTGCAGTACGATTTCTGATGGTTAAAAAGAGAATGTTATCTTATTTTTATGTTTACCAAACGTTCGGCAATGGAATGGCGAGCTTTCCGTATCGGCGGAGGCCACAACTCAGCTTTGGATAGGAGATGTCCCAAGCATTATGTGGCTAGCATTCTTTGCTGATCCCATATGCTCTCCAAAATTTTGTCGCCAAGCCTTGGCAGCAGCTTAGCCATCAGTAAACGACTTGGTGTACCAGAAAACAACAAAATATTTTCTGTTTGAACTTCTCTTTGCCCCGCTGTTTCAAACCTCCGCACGATGCGGTCGGACTTCATCGCTGTTGACGCAACTACACAGTGCGGTGCAGTCGCTAAATGCGATTGCATAGCGTTGTCGTCGGTCTCCTGATCCTCCGTGGAAAAAACTGAAGGCTTCCCGATAGTTTCAGGATCATAGTAAAGCGCTTAAGATTGGTGTGATGACCAAAAAAGCTACCAAAAGTCTCCGCCGAATACAGTATGTTCCGCGTCGGCGGACAAAAAAACTTTTTTAGACAAAAAACCGCCCACAGTCTTCTTTCTAATGCAAAAAGAATTTTTGGGATATCTTGCCTAAGCGCCGAGAAATCGGCAAATACTTTCCGCGGAATTTCTCTGGACACCCTGTACACTGATATGAAATTTGTAATTATTCTTATAAAAATTGGTGAGAAAAATTCGTTTTTATTCCGCGAAGAAGAAAAAACGAGATGGTTGGCCGTACTACTGTAAAATTAGCGGTCCATCGGGCTATAAAAGGAATTCAAAACACATATTGTCTAAAACTACTTACAAAATTCTATGCGTTGTTTTTTGGAGGGTTTTAATCCGAAAAGTTTTACCCAAGTTATGGGGATTTTAAGCTCAAATTTAGCCGATTTTCTCAAAAATTAAAGCACGCGTACTTTACGATTTTTTTAAGGACGGGTTTTGGCAACGCAGTATTGAAAATAGGCTTGGTGATAGCTGAAACAGTCAGCTTCATTCTAAATTTTGAAGGGTGTTCCTAGGCCAACTGAGAAAAAAGTTATGGCCAAAATACTGCCCCCAACCCCGGTTTTGGACGTAAAAAGTCACTCCCGCAAAAGTAGGCTACTTCTGCTTTTCGTCCGGTTTCTCTTGCTCGCAAACGCGTTTTTGATGCTCTCTCGCTCCCCCCTACTTCTCTTTTATTTATTTTTATGTTAGTGAAACAGGCCCCAGGTCCCCCACTGTACACGGGGCAAAGAGCAAAAATTGCACAATGCGAAGAAAACTCTTGTTTTCTCACAGTACATGTCGCCGATTTCAGTCCGTTGACTTTCCGGAAGGCCTAGCATACCTCCCTTGTAAGCCAATGGAAAAAAAAAATAAATTTACGGTTGAAGTTTACGGAACATTACAAAAATTGTAATGATTTACAACCGCTTTTGGGGAATAAGTCCTTGAAGGTCGATGATAAAAGTGCTAAAACGAACATCGCAGTTGCTCCTTTTTTTACCCGTTCAGTTTTCCCAGAAAAGTTCATATTACGACCAAATGGACAAAATGAAAAACGGCGGTAAAGCTGCGCGTAGTTAATTGAAGTAATCGCCGCGGTTTATAATCTTAAAATAGAAATGACGGTTGCAGCGTGTGACTGAAAGGTATTTGGGGGTTTATAGAGAAAGTACATCTTGTTTGCCAAGGTTGCTATGAGTATGGATGGGAGATGTTAATCATAGGGTTTAACGGAGGAAGTGCGAAAAGTTTGACGCTCAGATTTTGATGAAACTTGGTGGCAACTTAGAGTAATTATCTTTTTAAGAAAAATACAGTAATTCTAGCTCGCATTCTGCAGAAGCAGCCGAGAGTTTTCGGCCCAAAATTGGCAACAAAGCCCCTCAAATAAAGGCTTGCAATGGAGCGCTTTATGAAGCTGAAACCTAGCCTTACAAAACATGAAAATCTTAAAAGTGCATGGCTTGTATTACTTCGTGTTTTGCAAGGTAAATCTTGATTGGTCACATAGAAATCGCAGAAAAGTTTAATCGTCGGTTTGCAGGCCCAGCCATATATTCAATGGTCTTTGCAGGCGGCAAATTATGGGCAAAGAAAACAAATCGCCAGAGAACAAAGGGGGTTTTTGTAGGTTATGGATTGTTTCTATTAGGACAATCTTTCTTCTGGTACCCCTCAAGTTCCATAGAATAGCAACTCTCAGTCTTGAACTCTTCTACAGCGCAAAGGACATACATTAATTGTGGCTTATGATATCTTCAACATTAATAAAAATTCGACAATCATTTTGACCAAGCTAAGTTACTGTAGCCGCAGCCTCTCCGAAAGGACTTTTACTTGCTTTGGCGCCTCTTCTCAACTGAAAAAACCATTGTGACTTAAAAACTAATTAGCTCCCCTTAAACTACAATCTTTACAACCTTTCAATCACACTTTCTCGATCAAACCATACTGCTCGCAAATCGCATTACAAAGGTCTCCGACTCTTAATGATCAGCCGTTTATAAGCCTCGATTTCATAGCTCACCACAAATTGAACGGCAACGTCAACAAAAACCCACAACAACACACGCTGAGCATCCTATAAAAGCCAACCGCAATAGACGGATGACTTGTTACAGCGGAGGCTGGTCCCGCATTGGTCACGCCTTCCAGCAAGTACGCGCTCC